AATAATCTGTCAAAAATTTTTGTCTTTGTGCATTTGAATGATAATGTTTATTTTTTCTTTTTATGTGATATTGCATGAATATTAATAATTTATTGAATATTGTATTTGAATAAATTTCTTTTTGTTTTCAGTGCCAAATTCTGTGTCCAATGGATCAGCACCAGTTGCACATCATTCAAGTGCTTTTATGAAACCTGTTAGTCTAGCTGCATTAACATTACAAAATGCTTTGAGTATATTATTATTACGTTATGTACGTACAATACCAGGACCACGTTTTATAAATTCAACAGCAGTTATTATTTCAGAAGTTCAAAAAACAATTCTAAGCTTATTATTAGTTATTAATGAAGAACGTAATATTGTTGCAGCTTTTAAATTAATATATAATAAAATCATGCGTCAACCTTATGATACATTCAAAACTGGAATACCAGCTTTACTCTATACATTACAAAATAATCTTCTTTTTGTTGCTATTTCAAATTTAGATGCTGCTACTTTTCAAGTAATTTTGTAAAACATGATCTAAAAGAATTATTGAGGTACAGGAATAAAAGTATGAACACCTCATAAACGGTGACAAATGCTAGCCAGAAACCATCACAGATCGTAGCCCATGCTTTTGATATATGCTCCAATAGCTTCCAAGTTTTCTTTTTTGTTTAGGACTTATTGAGATTTTTCTATAAATCCCGTTATATAAATTGTTCTAAAACGAAAGATACTAGGCTGGAGGCTAACTTTTGAGGATTATGGCTCTCTTTTGATACAGTTCAAATGTATTATATATTATCAATAGTTAAGTCCAAATAAATTCAGTGGTTTAAATAAACCTAAAAAAAGAATACTGGTAGCCTCTCATAGGATTAAACATCGTATATTCATTATGTTTCGTTTCTAATATATATGTTGCAGGACAAATTAAAATCCAGTTCAGTTTTAAATCGAACTAGGATAGATTGAAATTTTAATTATTCCTAGTTTAGATTAAAATTTCGAAGTCAACTAGTTGATTTCGAAATATATTTTAATCTCAACTAGTTAACTTCAAAATTTTGATCTGAACTAGGATACATTAAAATTTTTAGCCAAATTATTCGTGGCTGAGTGGCTGAAGATACGTGTCGGGATGAGGACGAGAGTGTATGGTGAATGAGAATGAGTGAAGATAGAACTGTTATCCGCGTCATCGCGCTCGCCCTCACCCTCATCAACCGTCCATTCAAGTGTCTATATTTCAATCCGAACTAGTTCAAATCAAAATATTGTAATCTGTCCTGATTTAGATCAAAATATTTCAAGCTGTTCTAGTTCAGTTTAAAATATTTTAATTTATCCTAGTTCAGATCAAAATCTTGAAGTCAACTAGTTTACATTAAAATGCATTTCGAAATCAACTAGTTGACTTCAGAATTTTGATCTAAACTAGGATAAATTAAAATTTCAATCTGTCCTAGTTCGATTTAAAACTGAACTGGATTTCAATCTGTTCTATGACATATATATATATATATGAATTACTTCACTATTGCATTTTTAAAAGATTAAATAAAATCAATAGTGAAGAAATGTATCTTGAACTAGGTAGCATAAAGCAATGCAAGTGCATCATGTTTCACCTTTTTATCTCGCAGATAATGCACTAACAGCTTTTCTATTAAGAAGTCTTAGTTTTGTTTTCTTTGTATTAATAAAACAAAAAAAAAATTCTAGAAAATTATGATATGAATAATTTGGTTCTTTGTTGTTTAGGTTAGTTATCAATTAAAAATTTTTACAACAGCTGTTTTAATGGTAGTTATACTTCATCGCCAATTAAGTTTTGTTCAATGGCTTGCATTATTTCTTCTTTTTATTGGTATTTCTCTTGTACAAGTTGAAAATATGACATCAACGACACCAAAACAAGATGTTAATGCTGTACATGGATTACTTGCTGTTATAATTGCTTGTAAGTTGTTTGAGAAAAATTTTCGAAAATAGATAATGAAATGATTAATATTTTTTGCTTTTGTTAATCGTACTCTAGGTACATTAAGTGGTTTAGCTGGTGTGTATTTTGAAAAAATTCTTAAAGGTAGTGATGTATCTGTATGGATACGTAATATTCAATTAGGTATATTTGGAATTATTGTTGGCACAATAACAATGTATTTATCCGATGGTCCAAACGTACAAGAAAAAGGTTTTTTCTATGGTTATACAAATATGGTATGGATAGCTACACTTGTTCATTCTGTTGGTGGTCTTATTGTTGCATTAGTTGTTAAACATGCCGATAATATATTAAAAGGTTTTGCAACATCATCAGCTATTATACTTTCATGTATTGTTAGTATGATGTTATTTGATTTTCAATTAACATTATTATTTACATTGGGTGCAAGTTTAGTTATATTTTCCATATTTCTTTATTCAAAACCAGAATTAATTTTATTGGTACCAATTGTAAATGTTTTTTTTAAAGATAGATCAGTATTATTTTAAAATTAATTATTATCAACCATGAAGTAGAGAAATAAAATTATGAATTTATGTCTTTACTTCAGATAGTTACATATTAAAAAAATATGTGTTCTCTTTTAATCTCATTTATAAGTATCTCAAATGTGATAAAATTCTTGAGAAAATTAAACAAAAAAATATCATTCCATTTTTAGTTATGAACCATTGAGTGTTTTCTTTTCTAGCTGATCTAAGTGTGTTTATGTCTTGTTCTTTGTGTTTTTTTTCCGTTTATATCATATGTGCATGTCTTGTAATGGTTTATTTATATTGCTTTCAATTCATTATCACTTACGACATTTTTAAAAATGATGTATTGTTGAATACTGTTGTTTTGTTCTTGTTCAAAGTTAATGAACGAATTTTCGACTATCAAATAAAATACAATATGAAGAATTTAAAATATAATGAGAAAATAAATAAAATGAAATTTAACAAATATTTTACAATGAGTTTTGAATACGAAACAATTTAAAGTAAGTTTTCTATCAAAAAGTTTTTAAAACGTCAAGAGGCTTCAAAACTGAAGTCTCCGCTGTTTTTCGCTCAGAAAAATCTTCTTGTGTAGTTAATTTATCTTTATTATAATCATCGATTCGCTAAAGTGCGAGCGAAGCTACCGTTGAAATTGTTGAAGGGTTTATTTTACAATCACTAGCAGATATATTGTTACCATCGTCAACGGTATAGATTCGTTGAGTATGTGTATAGTATAAATATGACCGTATACCAACTTCCAACGAACATGTCCAAGTTGGTCATTATCCGTTGATGCAGCTAAAACGAGAGAGATGGATAAGAGATGTATTTTCTTTTCAAGAAATCTCGAAATAAAATAATATGAACAAACAATTTATATAATTAAAGATAGAAAATTTTGTCTTGAAACATGTTAAATACTTTCTTATACCAACTGTGAATTATCTGGAAAACAGTTTAATCATAACAGATTTTTTTAAATTTCTAGTGAGAATACTCGTTTACAAGCGTCATTCTTGAACGTTTGATCATTGTATCAAGGATTTTCTGATGGCTAGTAGGCGATATTATGATTAAGGAGTTGCAGATTCGTTCAGATTCTGGTTTGGCCAGATGAGGTTTCGAGTTTAGATTCGAATCCACAAAGATATGAGCACACAGCTTTCTTCTCATGATTCTCTGTGCAAGAGAAATGATTCTTTCTAACAAAGAATACATTGTTCGATAACTAATATATTCAGTGTACTTGATAAGATGTTATCATGTGTTTCTTTAATATCGATATTTATAGGTTGTTTTACTGAATAGAAGTAATTCGATAACTTTAAACACGTTATATAATTTACAATACTCTTTTGTAATTTTCTTTAGTATGATTCAAATTATGATAAGCTGAATAAATACATGACAAAATAACATTTTGTTTCTTACTAGGTAACCACAAACATTTTCAATTATGTTTGTATACAAAAAATGTATGTGCTTATGTTTAAAGAAATAAAATGACAAGTTTACTAAAGATTTTTAACTGTAACTAAAATGATTTCAATGATGCATGGTTTTACCTTTCAAATAACAACAGACAACCTTCACATTATACAATTGTAAGCTCACTCTTTTAATTCTGTATTGATACTATATAGTATGATCTAATTTCAGTGATTTTTATTATTTTTACATTTCATTCTTCATTTTCTTTCTGTTTCATAATTGGCTTATTTTTAGACATTTTTTTTCCATACTTGAGACTGACTACACAATAAAACAAGACAGAAATGTTTAGAATCATTCAATCTTTTACATATAAAACTCTGATGTTAATAATGTAAAAAATTCGTTCGTAAAGAACTTTATTTGATTTTTTTATGTGCAACAGGTTATCACTAAAATAGATATTCTATTTGTGTCATACTCAGAAAAAAATCTATTTACAAACAAACTTCTAGTTCGTTTCTGTTAAATCTTATGAAATAAATGCTTGCGTCTCATAACGTAACTAGGAAATCGTCAACAGTAGGACAGATAGTGTTCTATTTCTTTTTCAAAAAACTCATCCGAGATAGTATAAATGATAATGAATATTAGTATTTTTTAGGTTTTCCTGGTAATAGGGTACAGACTATTGTTGGAATGGCGAAGCCCAATCTGGCTCATCCTTGGTTCCGCCATTATTTTCAACTTTCTATTTCCTCAGTAAAATTTACTTTTGTTTGTCTTTTTATATCTATTGGTTTGAGAAAATCACATTCGTAATGTCTTTCATTTGATTTCATTTATTATTAGATTTATTATTTACAAATTCCTAATGATTCTCATATGATAAATTACATCATCAGTACCTGCCGTATTTGGTAGATAGATTTTTTAACATTCATTTTATGGATAGAAAAGAAAAAGAAAAAAAAAACTTATTTTCAAACTCTTTTGTCAATGACAAAACATAAAAGTCCATTAACACACACATGCACACACCACTCGTTTTAATTGCATACTATTCACCATTTTTGTGTTGTCTATACAAATATTGCTGTTGTGATAATAACTGTTCTACATTGATCTTCGAATGAAACTTTTTTACTTGTATTTGAACGACGCGTACTTGCACTTGCTAATCGTGCTGATGGTACTGAACTTGATGCTTGATTCATGATTAAAGATGTTATACTTTGTGCATCACCACTACTACTACTTTGATCATAACAGCCAGAATCAATTGAATTTGATTGACGGATTTTATTATTTGGGATCATACCTAGTAGAGAAGTTTTCATTAATGGTGAATTCTCATCACTTAATGATGGTGAATTTGAGTGTTCAATTAAGGAAAAAGTTGTTGTTATTTCATCATGTGTAGTGTTATTACTTTCAACGAAGGAGATTTTAGGTGACTTAGTGTATGTTTTAGAAGACTTTACATTTTCTTGATGAATACTATGATTAATAGCTGGAAAAGCATGCGATGACAATGAAATTACGCGTGGCGATGTTCGTAGTGATGATGGACGATGTGCAGGTGCTAAGAGAAGTTCGAGAGGTTCCTAAGCAAAAACAAAAGAAAAATGAAAAAGTAATTAGAATTTAAATCAATGAAAAGAAAAACAACTCATTATGCTTGTGCATTACAGTACTAATAAAAATGAACAACCAAGTGAATAAAAATCTGTGCTTATTTAATTACTTGATTTTATCATCAATATTCTTCATATTCATTGAAAAATGGCAAAAGAAAAATACGCATATATATATATTTCTATTCAATAAATAAGTTTCATTTTATTTTTTTTTTTACTTTAAAGAAAATAAAATCTTTCGTCTTCGCTAATTTTTATTTTGAGTAATTATTTATACTTACGAGACTAATAGATTTTGATGGTTTATTAGTTTTATTTCGTTTATTCATATGATTTGTTCTTGTTGGTGAATTTGAAACTGATGATTCATGGTGACTTAAATTTGATCTTGAAGCTTTGTCATGATTAATAAAATAATCTTTTAATTGACTTGCTCGAATACGTGTTGCATGTTTAAGAATATCTTTTTCAACTTTTTTTTTTGATGGTGTTGTTGTTGTTGGAGGAGGAGGAGGAGGAGGAGGAGCAGTTATCATAGAATGACGTAATGATGATTTTCGATGATTAGTAGGTGATGAATTAATGACAGATGATTTTTCTTGTTGTTTAGTATTTGTCGTTGTGGTTGTTGGTATTGTTGACGGTGGATGTCGATGTACAGCAAGTGTTGGACGAAGACCAGCTCGACGACGAATTGTATCTATAAGAATCATCAAAAAAAGTCTATCGTTTTTCCTCTTTATTTATTTACCACGAAAGGCATCTCCATTAGTTGTTTGTAATAATGAAGTCATATAAGCGAGATCAGGATCATTATCAAGTGTTGTTGTTGATGTTGTATCATTAGTAATAGGAATTTGTGTAGGTAAGATTATATGATCGGACGGTTCACTCATGAGAATTGACGATGAACAATAATTATTTTCTAATTGTTCTGATAAAGTGAACTTTTGTTCACTTTCAGTTGTTTGAACAAAAGAAACATTACGTATTTGTGTTTCTGCAAAATCAGTCATAGATGTTTGTTGTAATTCACTAAATGGTCGTGAATCTTGATGTGACTCTTGTAAAGTAGCTTTATAATGAAGTGCACTTGATGATCGACTTGGATTTCGATGAACAAATGCTTTATTTCGTTGAATAGTACTTGCAGATTTTCTTTCCGTTGTATTTCCTATTGTTGTTGTGGTTTGATTTTGTTGTTGTTGAGTTACTGCTGCAGCAGTTGTTGGATTTAAATGTATACGAATACCATGTTCAAGATAAGCAGCTTCAATAGCTTGATATGATGATGTACGTGTTGTTTGAGATGGTGGTGGTTGATTGAATTTTCGACGTGATAATGTTTGTTGAGAAGCTTGAATATCCATTTCATTAGCACGATCCGATATTGAAATACTAAGCGAAGACAAATCATTATTGAGAGATGTTGGTAAAGCAAATGAATTATTTGTACGATGTTTAGATGGTTTACATTCACTGTTAGATAGATCCATTCTACTGCCACTTATGACAGTACCTAAGTTAAATTAATAGAAAATTAAGATTTATACTTATCTTTTATTTGTTAGTTTTAAATTCTAAAATTACCTTCATTTTCAAAAGCTGGTCTTTCTTTACGAAGCGTTTTTAAACGCATATCGATTTGTAGAGTTTATTCAGAGCAAAAAAAAATATAAAGAATAAAATGGTGACAAAATTACAAATTATTTAACGATTCGTTTTGTACAAATAAAAGAAAAAAAAAAGAAAAGGTAAATGAAGAAACCGATGAAATGAAATGGGCAGTCATACATTAGACGAACGACAACAACAAACAAAAGTTAGTAACCAATCTTTCTCTCATTTGCTTTTCTCTTTTTTTTCTCATGATTTTCAAGTGCACATTTTTCCTTCCACGATCAATTTCCCTCTTCAACAATAACTGTGTATTTAAAAGTTTCTTTTTCTTACCTCTCGATTTTTTCGTTCGATCAATCGACCATTGCACAAATCTGTTGTCCCAATTTTTCTTTTTTTTGATATAAGAAATGAAATCATTAAACAAATAAATATTGAAAATATCACTTCAAAAAAAAAAAAAGAATTAAGTAAGAAGAAAAAAGGAAAGAAAAAAACAATATGACATGAATATACTCAAATAATGATTGTTACACTTGAAAAAAGCTTAACTATGTATGGCGTATGGTGGATGAGGTTTCGTTTAAAGTAATGTATAGTAAATTATGTTTTGAAAAAAGAAATAAAAAAACTTGGATGTGATCAAAACCTTGGAAGCATAACAACTAGCAAAAAATGAATTATATACTACTCCAATATTTCAATAGATTTACATTTATTAACAATTAATTTAAGTTTTTAGAGTTTCAAAAGAGGTTGGATTTATGTCTTTCTTATTTTTACGATTGGTATCGTAGGTCTATGTTTAAAACATTATTTGCATTAATGTTATTTTCTTCTTATTTCTCTACTGACAAAAAGAATCATTTAATATCAAATATTGGGTTACTATAGAAAAAAATTACTAAAACTTTAAAATACAATTTTGTACTTGTAATTGATCAAATCGTTGCATAAAAGAACTTTTCTCAATGTATTAAGAAATATATGTGAATTAATAAGAGTATTTCATAATGTCGTAATATTTCAAATATATCATAATATTAAACACCTAGTACAACCTTATCAGATATTACATCCTAGAAACATGTCACGACCAAGAACATGTATAGTAGCTTTACTGTAGATAAAGAATGTATAATAGGTTTTCATTTCTTCAAGGAATATTCTTTTGTTGCATGAGTCTATATTGACGAAGATTGATGTATACACTATATGCAATAGACGTCTATGTTTGGTTCAAGAGAAGTCCTTCAACTGATAAATCGCTTTTAAGTCGAGAATGCGTGCACTAAATACTCCCAAATGAACCATGAACATCCTGAAAAGAGTTATTGCTGTGGTATCATTGTACTTTTACGGTAATTTTCAAATGAATACGATGGTAAGAGAAAAATTGATGTTCGAATTTCAACTTGAAACTTGACATAGAGACAGACCTTAACAAGAATAGTTTTTTTTGTGAATATTTTCGATTTTATTATTGTTCCTGTCTTAAGATAGAATTATGGTAATATTAATGTCTTTTACATTGTTCATATATACCAGAAGATTTGATGTTCTTTTTTTATGATAGAAGCAAATCAAAAGATCTGAAACATTCACAATGAAGTATTTTTGTTAGGGCTTGTCTCGAAGCAAAGTTGGAAATTGCAATACGAAAATTAGTTTTTCTTTTACTACGGCATTTACCTAAAAAAAATACCGTAAAAGTGCTGTATATCTGCAGCAATAACTCTTTTCAAGGTATTTATAGCTTCTTTGGGCGTACATAATGCCCCATATATAGACCCAAAAGTAATTTATACGTTAGAAAACTTCTCTTACAAGCTAGAGTTTCCGATTTATACATATTATTGTTCCAGAGATAGAAATACCATGATATATCATTAAACATATTTTAAATATTGTCTTTTATCAATAGACATAGCAAAAAAGGGTATCGTACGTAATTATACAATCACTTGCTCACTACGAGTAAATTTGTGTTTGTATTATTTGCCCACACCATTATGAGTAGAAAAAGAATTGTGTGATTCTTTTTTATTCTTTGTTCATAGTAACGTACAAAAACAACAAAACCTGTGATTGAATTATATGAAAGGTAATATGGGCCACAGAGCGACTCAGTACTTTGATGAATAGTTGTCATTTTTCTGAATGAAATTACAATTCTTTGATTAACTGAACAAATCTAACCAACTGGAAGTTTTGAATCTTACAAATTACACTAAATAATCAATACTGATCGATTGTTAGATACTTTACAAGGTCAGCAAAAATTAGGATCTTTTATAACAAGTGATTGACTCAGATCGAGAACACATATATAAATATTGATGCAGGATTTTGATTTGTTTGCTTGTTTTAATCAAATTCGATTTGTAAGTCTTTCTTCAAAAAGTACAATCTAGGTAACTTAACTAATAAAACATGAAAAATATTGTTACAAATGTATAGAGCAGATGTAGACATGCAATCATGTACTATGAAGGTCAATCTCCATTTATATGGATTCATGTTAGAAATGAATGCTGCGTGAGAATATAAAATTTTATTGTTATTCTGAATATGCTATTAGACAATTTTTTTGCGCACATCTACGAATAGTTGATTAGTAAATATTATTTTATAATATTTCATCATGTTGTTTTCTTTCATAATTAACACTAGTTAGATTCCAAAGGTGAATAACTCTCATCATCTTGCTTTTTCCATAGTTTATTCTTATTTAACATTAGCTGTGTATATAACTGCCGTTTTGTCTATAATAATTCTATCACATTGTTGGATCATAAATAAACAGGTTGTCCACAAGAGCATTTACAAATCTTATAAGATAATTTATGCTTGGCGACATAATGTGCTTTCCTATCAACGTATCACTTCTCATTCCGACAATGAGAAGTTTTCAGAATATCATTGTGATAAAAAAAAAAGTTCACTATTCAATTAGCTCATGCGCAGATAATATTTAACTTGAACTTCCCATTAGAAAATGATAAGTTTAATTGCATTGAAGAAACTACGTATTGAGCTTTCACTTGTATAAATCATCATTTAGCAAATATAACTCGAAACCATTGAATCAAACTTATGCACCACCATAGGTTTTGTAATGTCTGATCTTTTCAAAAATAATAAGTATACAAAACGTGAAATACTTAAAAACCAAGCTCTTCAAGAAAGGATACTGTCGGATAAAGTCGTAAATCTGTCATAAGTTAAAAGTATAGAGCATGATATTCTGTAAATTTTTTGTATATTTATTTTTTGTTTTGGTCAAGATAAAAATAGACCTTCGAAGATTAGATAGTCTTACGGGGTCTATCTTTTTTGAATGATAACTATGATAGCAATAATTTTTTCTTTTGTAAAACTGAATATGAAAACTAATAGTCTAGATCGGAGTAGTTTTCATTCCCTAAAAAAATGGCATATTGATCATGTTCATCGATTGTTTTATCCAAGGTCAGACAGATGCAATAGATACAATTGTTATATTATATAGACGAAATTTGATGTTTTCTAGCATATTGTTATCTTTAAAAAGCAAATTGCAACTAAAAATTTTAATGATTAAAAACTGCGCCGACTCACATTCTATCAGTCAATATCGCTTTCAAAAAGATCTATGCTGTGCAAAGGCTCATTCTCATCGGAACACGATACGAAAATGACTATTTTGGAAATACTAGAACAGTCAATGTCGCCCGTTTTCCTATTTAAGTCCTCATCAAACTTCAACTTCAGAACTGCATGAATGCCATAGTCGGAATCAGTCCAAAAAGAAATACGTGATATCTGATAAATTTCAGTAAAAATAATTTCTTATGGAAAAAGCGATGTAGCCTCTCGGAAAATACTTTTTTTCAAGTTTCGTTCGAGCTTGTCCAAGGTACATCTATCATAAAAAATTGTTCTTGACGAGATGCGCATGATATAACGCATTTTTTAAATGCTTATTCTAAATATGGTATTGATTTAGCTTTCAAATTCAAATTCGATGAAGATTTCAATAGGAAAACGGTCAACATCGACTGTTATTGTGTTTCTAAAATGGTCACTTTCGTACAGTGTTCTGATGAGAAGAAGCTTTTTGACGAAATAGATCTTTTTGAAAGCGATATAGACTGATAGAGTGTAAACTGGCACAGTTTTTAATCCATAAGATTTTTAGTTGCAATTTTTCATTTTCAAATATGATAACACCCTAGAAAAATACCAAATTTCCTCTATAGGATATAAGAATCGTATCTATTGCACTTGTCTGATCCAGTATAAAATAACCAATAAATATGATCAATATGTTCTTTTGTAGAAAATTAAAAAATTACGTCGATCTAGAGTATTAGTTTTCATATTGAGTTTATAAAAGGAGAAACTATCGTTACCATAGTTCTTATCCAAAAGAAATAGTACACAAACATGTGTAGAATTTCATGCTCTATCTTCGCAACCGATCGAGTATAAAATCGAAGGGGGTGGCTGATTTACGATTCTATCTAGCAATATTATGATATCAACATTTTATTCATAACAAGCATATATTGTTTACTCAAATTCAACTGTCATGAAGACTTTTAATTAACCTTCAGCTTTTTAACTATTTTATTTATTCTCATAAATTTTTAAAACATAAATAATAATTCTTCCAAATGTGTCATAACTATCATAAAATGTTAAACGAAATGGAACTTGATCGATGACATGTGCTGTTGGTAGACGAAAGACGTTTACCTAATGTTAAGGAATCTAAACTTAGAAGAAACAAATAGATATCTAACATATAAGAATATCAGATAGAACAAATAAAAAAAGGATATTTGTAATTTGCCATGATTATCAGGATAAAATTCAGCAATTGATGTAAATGTTCCATCTTGTTGTCGATCTTCAATAACAAATCGTTTTGCTGCAAAACCTCCTTGAAACTTAATAGCAATACTATTCAATGTAATACATTTCATAGGAGTAATCTGTATCCATTGTGGAGAACCCTAAACATTATTTATAACAGTTATATTATATGCAAATACAAAAAATCTTACTGCTTCTGAATTCCAACATGTTTCCTCATTACCATCAATTAAATTTTTCTTTCCATAATTCTTATTGTCTTTATTAAGAACAGAACTAACTCTATGAATTTTACAACAATAAAAACCAATTGGAAACTATCATAGACAATCTACCTCAGCTGAGTTTCATTTAACTCTATTTCAATATCAGATGCCATCTAGAAAGTGCACATATAAATGTTTTTATTTACTAAAGTTGGATATATGTTTATTTATCTAAACAAACTTAAAGAAAACAACAAGAAGAACAAAAAAAAAGAAGAAGTGCAATTTTATTCTTCAATTGGTGGCATTTGAGAATTTTTCACTTGACGAAATTGTCCATCAACAGCAAATTTTGGATTATCTGGACCAAGTATTGTAGCTGCATAAGGCTTTTTAAGTAAATATTTTTGTGTTACATCAATTAAATTTTGTCTCATGCAAGCAAATATTCCATCACGATTTTTTTGTCGCATTTCATCATCAATTCCATGTAAAAATCGTGTCATACCTTGACTACCAGGTGATTTTGGTTTATCAAGCTACAAAAAAATATTAAAATTATTGTTTGTTATTGTAAAAAAAACAAAACATTTTACTTTTTGAAATGTTGCTAATTTAGCTTCATCAACATCTTTATCAGTAAAATTTCCATTAACAAAATAATCAATACATTGATTAAATCGTTCAAGTGTTTCAACAGAATGTGGATCTCTAAACAAAGAAAAATCATTCACATATGATTTTCTTTTTTTCTTAATAAGGGCGATCTAAAAGCCACTTTGCCGAGGAAAAATTGAATATCACCACCATGTTTTGATTAAATGCCTTGACTTTTTCCATTACTCATAAAAGTGTGTTCATAGTCGTAAGAAAAATGTTGACGAAAACTATTTTGAGGTGTCATCAATTCAGAGATTCGCAAAACAAAAATACGATATGTCCTAGAGACTAAATTAATGAGGCAACTATTTTTTTCGATCAATTTTTCATATAATTGTTGTTTGGTTTTATATTTACACTAAAGATTTATGTCTTATTACAGATTGAATTTTGAAAGTTTCAGCCCTAAACGATGAGAACTTGTTGCAGAAGCTTACAATATGTTCTACGTGCTCTTAAATGGCTTGGAAAAAATTTTCTAATGATAATTATTTCATTTTTATTTCCGATTTAATTTAAATTTTCAAAAGTTAGAGATATTCTCACGTTCAAACTATCTTAACGACTAGTCAAACATGATCCAAGAATGTAGATATAGCAAGAAATGGAAAACAAGATAAGTATTATAGTGAATTTTGGCTCCAATAACATAAGAGTACATGTGACGCATTTGCAGTTCTCTCAATTTTTATGATTGAAATTTCAGGGTACACTGGAAAATAAAACATTTATCGGTAGTATAAAAATGAGACCAATCAATTAATTATTATGATGTTTATTTTGGTCACGAAGACATACCTTTTTTTTCACAACTCATTCAAGGTCACTGTTGTTCGTTGAAAGCAACAGTGACACGTAAAAATAATTTTTGTTAACGCTATTCATATGAATATAAACTATGAACTAGAGTTCATCGGATTAGCTTCGGACTCTATTAAGTTCAGATCTGAAATGTTTTTTATCAACCGAGTCCAGGTTCGAAAATTTAGGACCCGACGGGCTCTACTGTGAACACATCTTTACCAGTGATGAAAAAATCATTCCATTTAATCGAAATATGATGGTTATATTCAATTTTTTCTTGATTCAGTGACTTTTGGGCTATGCTGTACTTTCTTACCGATATGAAAAGAATGAAAATAAATTTCCTCGAAGATATGCTCCACCTCCATATGCACCACCTATTTCACGAATTTCACGTAATAAAAATTTATTAAACATTAATTTCGATAGTATTAATAACCTATATAAAAAAGAAATAATATTTTAATTTTAATAAATAAGAAAAAGAGAAATTTACCTAGGATAATCTTCATGACTATAAGGTACACTTTGATAACATTGACCTGAATAGAATACATCAAATGGCATTTCAAAATGAGTTTTTGATGGTAATTTATTTCGTCCTATTTGAAAATCATTTTTCAGATAAAATTGTGCATTTTCATGACGTATTAATTGTAATTTATTTGTTGATAATCCTGGAAGTCGATCAAGAAATGTTTCAAGTCGTTTCATTCCATTTGTTAATCCATGTGATTCACCATTAAATGCACAACTTAAAAATAAGAAAGAAATATTTATTATAAATAAAGAAAATAGATTTACCGTAAAGATTTTTTAGTTAAAACATAATCTGCTATTTGAGCTAATTTCTTTGTTATATCATCAAAATTTTCTAATCGTGCTATTTCTTGCATACGATTAACTTGTGTTAAACCAAATAGATTTTCCGATAATTGATCAACAGGTCCATATTGACTAGCTGAATGTATAACAGCAAATGTATGACCAGATTCATGAACACTATTTGCACTCGCTGATGCTTGACCTTTAATTAATGTTTTCAAACGATCATATTGATGAAGTTGTTCACTTTAAAAATAGAAAAAAAAAAAAGGAAATTTATTCAATAAAAATAATAATAAATAAATAAACTGAACAAAGTTCATACTTGAAATGTAGAAGTATATCTTCCCAAAGATCAAACATAGCATTAATATTTCGATCAAGACAATATGATGAAAGTAAAATACCCTAAATAAAATGAAAATATATTTTAAAAACTTTTTCTTTTCTTTTCCATTACTTCCTCATAATCTTCAATTCGAAATAAACTTTCATCCAAATGTGGTGATACATTAAGACCACCAGTTTTTAAATCGATTTGCTCTGATAGTTCAAGATAATTAAATTTTTTTGAACCAAGTCTAAAGAACAACAAATAATATATTTTATTAAGTAAAAGAACGGTTACACTTCAATGATGCGCTTCACCTATTTTCTTTCTTTCTTTCTTTCTTTCTTATTCCTTTTTTTTATTTTATATATAATTGCACATTTACCTGTGGGAAGCTTTTTTTTCTTCGTACTCTTTTTATATACAACAAGAAAAAAACAAAAAAAAAATATCCCATGTTTGATACACAATTTCGTCTTTCACCCGAACTATTGGGTAATGGTACAACATCTGATGATTCATCATCGAATGGACCATGGCCACAAATGTCACTTGATCGTCTTCTTGAACATCATGATTTAACACCGGCTCAACCAATATCAATTAATGATTCAACAAATAATGAATTTTGGTCATCATCAGCACAATTTAAGGAATTTTTTAATAATTATCATCGACATATGCAACAACAAAACCAACCAATTGACATATCATCATTACTTTCATCTTCACCGTCACCACCACCACCACTACATCAACAACATCAATCACAACAACAACATTATCAATTACCTCTTGTTGATAATCATATATTTGAACCTCAACCTGATCAACAACAATTATTTTTTGGTCAATATTCATCTGATAATAATCCAATATCTTTCAGACGAGATTCAATGCATTATCAACAACAACCGCAACCATACACCAATCGTTCCCGACAACCAGCAAATATTCATCGACAACAACAACAACAACAACAACAGTATAATCGAACTGCACCACCAGTTCTTCAAATACCTAATGACGATCATTATCAACAACAACAGCAACAGCAAGCAATTGGTCCACCACGTTTTAAACAAAATCAACATCCAGCTTATGTTGCTTGTTTAAATCATGGTATTAACTATAATGGTATATCTGGTCCACCTATACTTTTGCCACCATCATTTTAAAAAAAAATATCAAAGATTCATTTCGTTTTCTTTTTTGTTCGATAGTTTTCTTTTTAAATAAAAACTCACTTTGTGAGAACATTAACAAATAATGGTAAATAAGATTTTAATTCATTTGATAATTCAAATGTGTTAAGTAAACAACGAAAATAAGTTATACCATTTGTTGGTTGTTCACACAATTGGACATAGGTATTACCTAAAATAAATAAAAATGATTGATAAATTAAGATGTAGAACGCATACCTATTTGTCCTTGTGTTATTGGCACACGAATAACCTTCTTGTCAATGTCATTAATAGACAATGTAGGTAAAACGTCAACGTTCTGGGGTGCAGATTGTCGTTTTTGTAATTCTAAGCCTAAAAAAAGATTTTCTTTAGTAAAATAAAAAACACAAGAACAAATAAAGTATAAACCTTTTTCATATATTAATTGTTTATCTTTACATTGAGATATTAATTGTTGACAAAGTTGAGATTCTTTTTGTTTTTTCTTTTCAGCATATTCATCATCAATATTCATTGTTGCTATTAATTTATGATTATTTTTCTATAGAAGAAAACGAAACAAAAAAATTTTACTCAATGAATTATTTAACTTTATACGAACTAGAAAATATTTTTCAACAATATCTTGAAGTAATTGAGGATTTTTCTTTATTTCATTATTAAATTTTTCAAGATATTTTGTGACTTGAAGACTATCAATTGGATCTGTATCATGTATCCAAGAATAAATTAAACCCTAGATTAATCGAAATATTTATATCAAACAAAAAATTAAAATATATAATTTATACGAACTAAAATAACTTTAAGACCAAAATTTTCATCTTGATGTTTGATACCAAGTTCAAATTGATGAAGTAATGCCTCAATTTGACTTTTTTCAAAACCTTGTCTGAAAAAATAAGTTTTGTAAAACACAAAAAATAACAAACAACAAAATGTTTTTATTAAATTTTACTTCGCAACTTCTTGAAATGTTTCATCAATAATTTTAATAACACGATCAACATCTTCTTTGGATATATCTTGTAAACCAACATGAAATGTTGTATTTAATGTATGACGTCCAAAACTAGAATAATCGTTTCATTCAAGGATAATAAATTCAACATAGGACAACAGAAAAGGTTTATGATATGAAAAAGAATGAAATCTAAATTAGTAAAGATCTTTCTGTAAGATAACTTTGTCGTGTTAAAGTAATAATAACATTTTTTAGGATTTCCTCAACATGTTATTTAACATTTAATACAGTTATTTCTTTGATGAAGAATTCATATTCACCAATATGAATGATATTTTCTTTTAGTCACTGAACATTAGCATTATGTTAATAATAATAATAATAATAATAAGCTAACAAATATAAAGAGTTTGAAACAAAATTTTATATTGTTTCTTAATATAAGTGCATTTCTCTAAGACTTTTGACTTGGGAGTTATGACGTCACTTTTCAGAGGTGCACAAAACTAGTTTTGAATGAAGAATATTGGCGTTTTTTTTGCATTGAGTAAAAGACGAAATTTTTGCCTAGAAAATGACATAAGAGTCAAGAGTTCTAAAACAATCATTCAGGAATGGTTGAGCTCACTTTACAAGTCTGTCTTCCATAGCGATTCAGAAAATTGCTTATATTGACACTTTTTACCTAATAAAATTACTCACTGTTGACCAGTGACTTAAAGCGAACCAATCATTAGCATAACAGTTTATAGAGAAATGTTTATTCTATCATTTTTTGCATTTAGAATAATTTTTATAGAGACTGAAAAATGACCCAACATTTTTCAAATTACTTTTCCATAATCTATTAGTTTTATTTATGCATCGTGATATTCAACGAATTTCGAAATAAATTTGTACAGTAAACATCTTCAAAATTTACCCTGTATCAGGTGAATAAGTATTACCAATATTAGGTACAATTAAGTTCTTATAAAATGGAGATTTTTCTGAACCAACAAGTAATGAGCAGACAATATTCAAAAGAAATGTTTCCCATGTATTACGTATACTAAAAATTATGAACAAAACATATAAATTATATTTAATAAATGAATAATTATTATGTGCTACCTTCCCAGTAAATAACTAACGCTAACAGTTGTTGTTTTATTTGGATCAACAACGAATGATTGTGGTGAACAAGTTATATTTACTGATCGTGGTTTATTCCAACGAGATTCTTCAATTAGTTTCGATGATATTGTTTTAGTTTTTTGCCGTTCATAATTATTCAAATAATCATTAAGAAATGCAAGTGTATCTGATACTGGAAATGAACCATATGTAAAAAACCTAATTTTAATTAAAATTTAGTTATTACAAATAATAAATTTCTGTTTTATTTTTCATACCGTCCATTAGATGGATGATAATGTGTTGCATGAAATTCTTTTAATGCCTTCCATGTTAATACTGGAATACTTTCTGGATCACCACCTGATTCATATTGATATGTTGATGTTGGCATTAAATTATTTTGTATTCGACGAGCATAGACCTGATGACTATCACTCTATATAAAATGAAAAAAAAACACCAACTCAAAACAGAAAAATAAAAATAAATAGTTAGCTTACAAAAACACCTTTCATTTCATTGAATACAACACCTTTGACCACAATTGGTGACGTTGGATCATCAATTTTTTCATGTTCAAGACGCCAACCTTCTTGCCTTTATTAAAGAAAGAAACTATATATATTTTTTTTTCTTCAAACAAAATTTGTATTTTACATAAAATCATATTCATCAAGTTTTGGATGTAAAACAGCATCGAGATAAACAGACATAAGATTAAAATAATCTTTTTGATTTTGTGTCGAATATGCATACATTGTCCAATCACTAGCTAGAAATATAACAATTCAAATATATGCGTAGGACACATCAAAATATTTTTTCATGGAGTTCTTCTAAAATCTGGACTTTCAGGACAACTATTATATAATGCTCGAATATATTTAGAATGATGTGCAAAATTTCACACTTAGACGTCCCGAACTTCCTTATATTGTTGCATTTCTTTCAGATTAGTCATACAAAGGATCTACGAAATTTGTTCGAATGAAAAATAGTTGAGAAATTTATAATAAAGAAATAAGCTTTCAGCTATATGAAAAAACAAGAATATTAGTGCATAAATATTATCTTTAATTCTTCTAATTTTTGTGATAGTAAGATGCCAAAATGAAGGTGACATCGACCATTTCCCAGGACATTTTTATTTAAGTAGCAAAAAGAGTAAAAATAAAGGGTGACTGTAAGTACTCTTGCACTCTCACGCACACTGACACCTCATATTTATACCTACACCCACACCTTTATCATTGATTGAATAGATTTGGACGGATCATTTTTCATATTTTATTCTACATTGTCACTAATGATAGATCATAGTTTTATCATTATGATGAAATAGAGTAGTCGAAAGTTGGAATGTGACCAACTAATTCATGAGTAATCAAAGCTCATCGAAATAAAACCTCAAACAAATGAAGCTTGCAAACTTTTTCATGCAATCTCGCTTGATCAAGTCCATACTATTATAATCTAATAAACGAAAGTTAGGCTGTCAACATTTGCTTAGCTCAAGTTTTCTGACTGTATCAACAGAAAAATAAAAGATCGATCTATAAAGCCTAAGTCTTCACTAATAAAAATACAAAATAACAAAAAACCTACAATATCAACGATTTTTCAGCAAAATGTCATATAGAGTCGTATTAAAATTTATCGTACTCGCCACGTCGGAATTCATATTACTTCTTTCTACTTTCGAAACTCTAAAATCCACTACATTGAGTGGAATTCAATATTACCAATGCAATGTTAATTGTGTTAAAACAAGTCATAAATGAACTCATAAAATACGATCTCAAAAACGGTTTCCATGATGTATTTTCATTTGATGAAAAATTGCATTGTTCATGACGAGTGATAATTGGAAAAACAACACTACAGCTAACTGACAAAAAACAAATTTTCAAGTGCTCGTTTTATTTTGGAAATAAAAACTGTTATTATTTTTTTTTTCGAAGAAATACCTGTAAAAGCATTCATAAATGTAGCCATACTACGATTAATCATTTTAAAAAATGGATCACGACATGGAAATTTTTCTGAACCACATAGTGTTGTATGTTCAAGAATATGTGCAACACCTGTATCATTGTTTGGTGTTGTTTGAAAAGCAACACTATCAAAAGAAAAAATAACGAAGATTAAACAAAAACATAAACTTTTTTTCTCTAACCTCCAAACATTATTTTTATGATCACGATCAATATGTAAATGTTGACAACCAGTTAATTTATGTTGAAGTTTAATAGCAGTTAAACGAAACTCTGGTATAGGTGTTATCTAAAAACAAAAACAAAAACAAATATTTGATTTATAATTATTGATATTTATTTGACCTCTTTAACAATATAACCATGTAATTCTTGACCAACGGAAAGAGATGTTGAAGGTGGTTTAGATGCAACAGATAGTTTTTGTAATTGACGATTAAATGAAAATCGTGTTGGATTGATAATTCTATTCGAAAAATATTCATAAATAAATAATAAAAAAATTAAACTTTTACCGATGACATAATCGAAGAAGATTCATAATTGAGATTGAAATTGATTTATTTTATCTAGAATATGAAAAAAGCAATCATTACATTTATTTATTCATTTATTTTTATATTTAAATTAGATGGAAAACGAAATTTTTCTTTTTCACATTCATCTGTTACATAATCACATTGATAATATGAACTAGGAGCACGAAAATTAATTGGAAAACCTGGACAATAATATTTCGATTGATTTTTTCGACGATGTATACGTGGTTTTATTCGACCTTTAATACATTTTGGACATTTTGGATAGGCACCATGTTTAACCATATAAATAATACGTGAAAGAAGATCAGGTTTATTTCCAAAAGGATTTTGATGATTAAAACGAAGAATATTCTTGAGTACAGGCACTTT